TGAGCACAGAGGAGAAGCACCGGGAAATAAGGGCAGGAACCATGACTCCTCTCCTGGCCCCGGAGTGTGGGTTCATTTCCGTCACTGCCCCCATCACAGACTTCTCTCTTCTTTCTTGCAACAGCATCCACCACAGCTTCCTGGGAACAAGCCCCTGAGTCATTCTTGCCTCTTCAGTGCCCCTTCTTAGTTGAACAGATCTCTCTTCCGCATCCTCTGGTCCTGCCTATAAATTTCAGGGGACAGTGATTTCGGCTGGACCTCTGATTCTGAAGAAAAAGATGACCTTTAAATACCCATCTGTCCTTGTCTGTGTGATCTGGGACAGGAACCTCCAACTTCCTGGTCTGTACCCTTGGTGATGTCATGTTGTCATGACCTGCCCTCCTCTGGGCAGTTGTAGGGTAAACAGATCCCAGTGCGTGGAGGGGTCAGTCACTGTTAATTGTCACACCAGGTTCAGACATGATGGATTTGGGACATGAGGGGACCATGGTGTCCACACTCAAGGTGCATGCTTTGTGCGTGCACTCAAGAGCTCTTGCTTGCTCCAAATACCAGTAAGTGCTACCTGCAATAGTTCTGAAGCACGTGTGAAGAGTCACATTCAGAAAAAGAGACATGAAGTTTTCTGAAAGAGACATGGAACCATGAGACAGAACAGAGGACAAAGCTGAGTGCCTGGGACCCTCAGTGAGTCACAGGGAGGTGATTCCCACCTGTGTGGGCAGAAAAGGGCCCCCAGGTCCTCCCAGGTGGGAGGGCTCAGGGCTCCAGGTGAAGGTTGAAGCTGTGGCCCCCCTTCCCCCTGTTTCTGGGTGGACACTGGGCTATCTTTGTGCACTGACCCACGCCCCTGGTCAGCACTGAGCAACGTCCCCCGTGTGGCAAGAAACAGACTCAATCCAGTGTCGTCAGCGGTGGGCGTCTGCCCCACGTGTGGGAGTGAGGCTCCCACTGGACCATCCCTGATGGCGCAACGCTGAGCAGATGCTAAGTCTGAGACAGTGCACCCTGCCGGGCAGGAGGGGCCGCAGCAGCCTGACTCCCAGAACAGCCCTGGGAGAGACCTCTATGAGAGGTCAGGTGTGTGAGAGGGGACCTCCAGCAGGAGTGGGCGGCCCAGAGTGACCCTGTTATTGGTGGACCTTGCGACGGACAGCCCTCTACAGGTGTACTTGGCTTCGTTGTGGTTTGCAGATACTGCATTTTATTTCATTTTATTTTATTACAGCTTAAAGGTTTATGGCAACCATGTGTAGAGAAAGTCTCTTGGTGCCACTTTTCCAGCAGCATTTGCTCACTTTATGTCTCTGGGTCACGGTTTGGTAATCCTTGCATATATTTGAAGCTTTTTCATGATTATGATATTTAGTATGGTGATCTGTGACCAGTGACCTTTGATCCTACTATTGCAGTTCTTTTGACATTTTTAAAATTAAAGGGTTTCAGAATTAAGGTATGTAAATTGGGGGTTCTTTTAGACATAATGCTGTTGCACACTGAATAGACTACAGTAACTTTCATATGCGCTGGGAAGCCAGAAAGCTTATAGCGGTCCCTTTATTGTGATATTTGCTTCACTGCGGTGTCCTGAACCAAACTGGAAATATCTCTGCGATGTGACTTCCTATGGTCCCTTTCAGACAAAGTCTGGTGATGTCCTATAGAACGTGTTCGTGATACAGAGCTCACCAATGGAGGGAAGAGGTCTACCTGGGCTTAAAATGCAGTCTTGTGCATGCAAGCAATTTAAGAATGTATGCCTATTAAATATTCAGCATTAAACGTATGTTAATTAAAAACTCACATCGATACATTCCATTTCGTATACATTTAAGGGCCACTGGATGAGATATCCATCTCGGCACCCACCGGAGGGGCTGGGGCTGTCCGTGACCCCATGTTGAAATCACCCACGCACTCTCACTGTTTCCACACGGACGAGAGGAAGAGTGGGGAGACGGTGGTTGCTTGTGGACTTGGACACCCGTGCAGTTCCGGTCAAGGCTGGGCCAGGTTGGTGAGCGCGTCGTTCCTGAACTTGGGGAGGCGTCCCGACTCCTGGGTTCTGATGCGGAACCTTTGAGTTTTCTTCGCAGCAGCGTTTTGGTGATGCTCACTAGCCAGACACAGTGCTCAGCTCCCACTGGAAGCCTTCCTAGTGGGACTTCGGGCGACGTATTTCTCAGCAGTTACAGTGAAGGTCAGGAGACACTATTATCTTAAAGGAGGGCAGTATAAAAACAGGATAATAAGAAAGCTGCAGAAGAAAGACTGGACAAAACCCTGCAATGGGAGCAGGAGAGGACAGCCAGGTTTAAAGTGTGTCAGGCTGCTGTCTGAGGCAGCAGGAGAGGGCTACGTCCAGGCGGGAGGGCACACTCACCCTGGAAGCCGCCTCGTGGAGACCAGGCCAGGGACGGACAAGACGGCCCACGACAAGTTTTCTAGTGACTCAGCTCTGTCTGCTTCACACACTTCTGTTCCTTTTCCAAATGTCCCCATCAGATTAACCGATTAAACCAATTAAACATGAAAGACTAAAACATAAACTTTTTATCAAAGTATTAAACCTATTCTTCTTTAGTGTTTGAACGTGTAGGATTCCAAGCACAACTTAAAAACACTGTGATGGGCCTGATGTAGAAATCTGGATTGACATTCACTTGACAGACAAGCCTCAGGTCTGCCGTTTTTACGTATTGTTGTTGTTTAAATTGAAGCATAGCTGATTTACAATTTTATATTAGTTTCAGGCATTCAAAATAGCGATTCGACCATTTTGCGTATTATAGTCCACTGAAAGTTATTAGAAAAGAATGGCTATATTTCCCCAGACTGTGTGATTGATCCTTGTTGAGCATTTCTTTCACACACAGTAATTTGTATCTCTTAGTCCCATAACCCTGTCTTGTCCCTCCCGCTTCCACCTCCCTACTGGTAACAACTAGTTTGTTCTCTCTGAGTTTGTTTTGTTATCTTAATTCATTTATTTTATTTTTTAGACTCCACATATAAGTGAGAACATGAGCATATTTGTCTTTCTCTGTCTGACCTATTTCACTAAGCATACAACCCTCCAGGTCCATTTGTGTTGTTGCAAATAGCAGAATATCATTCTTTTTATGGCTGAGTAATATTCCAGAGTGTGTATGTATAGATATGTATCACATCTTCTGTATCCATTCATCTGTTGATGGATACTTGGGTTGTTTCCAAACCTTGGCTATTATCAATAGTGCTGCTATAAACATTTGAATTTGTGTGTTTTTTTTCCCAACATATATAGCTAGGAGTGGAATTGCTGGATCATGCAGTAGTTAGTTGTTAGTTTTTTGAGGAATGTCCGTATTGTTCTCCATAGTGGCTGCACCAATTTATACTCCCAGCAACAGTGTACAGGGGTTCCCATTTCTCCACATCCTCACCAACGTTTGTTATTTGTAGACCTTTTTGATAACATTCTGACAGGTGTGAGATGATATCCCATTATTGTTTTAATTTCAGCTTCCCTAATAATTAGCCACGTTGAGCATCGTTTTGTGTGTCTGTGAGCCGCCTGCGTGTCTTCTTTGGAAACATGTCTGCTCAGGTGTTCCACCCACTTTTTAACTGGGTTGTTTGTGGTTTTTCTTTTTTACAATGAGTACCATGAGCTGATTGTATGTTTTGGATATTAGCCCCTTGTCAGTCCTATCACTTGTAAATACGGTCTTCAGTTCAGTAGCTGGTCTTTCCATTTTGGTAATGATTTCTTTTGCTGTGCAACATCTTTTGAGTTCAGTTAGGTCCCATTTGTTTCATTTTGCTTTTCTTTTTTTTTGCTTTAGGAGATAGATCCAAATAATGCTGCTAGGATTTGTCAGAGTGATCTGCCTATGTTCTCTTCTGAGAGTTTTATGGTTTCAGGTCTTCATTTAGGTCCTTAGTCCACTTTGAGTTTATTTTCGTATGTGGTATGGAAATGTTGTAAACTTTGGCATGGAGCTGTCCAGTTTTCCAAGCACCACTGATTGAGGAGATCGTCCTTCTCCACTGTACAGACTTGTCTCCTTTGTCATCGATTCATTGGTCAGAGGTATGTGGGCTCATTTCTGGGCTCACTGTCCTGTTGCATTGATGTACGTGTCTGTTTTCATGGCACTACCATGCTGTTTTGTTTGTTGTAGCTTTGTAGTATAGTCTTAAGTCAGGGAGCATGATACCGCCAGCTGTGTTTTTTATTTTTAAGATCACTTTGGCAATTTGGGGTCTTTAGTGGTTCCATATAAATCTGAGGATTATTTGTTAGTTTCTGTGGAAAATGTCATAGATATTTTGATACGGATCATATTGAATCCGTAGATTGCTTTGGGTAGTATTGCCATTTTAACAATATGAATCCTTCCAATCCAAGAGTACAAAATATCTTTCTATTTCATCTTTAATTTCCTTCATGAATGTTTTGTCATTTTCAGAATGTCAATCTTTACCTCCTTGGTTAAGTCTATTCTTGACTGATTTATTCTTTTGATATGCTTTTTGATATGCAGTTTTGTGATTTTGGGCAAATTGTTTGGACCCAGGTTCTCATCTGGGAAGTGGCTCATTGTGTGGCTGGATTCAGGAGATGCTGATGCGACAGTGTTGATCAAGTTTTGAGGGAACCCCAATGCCAAAATGGGATGTACTTGCTATGACAGACCAGGAGCAATGCTTTTTGTCTGATGAAGATCCACTTCATCCAGTGCCCACTGCAGGCCATGGCTTTCTCCACCCTTCTTCATGCCGTCTCACTATATTGTATGGAAAATAGACAGAAGTTATGAGTAGAAGCATGTCATTCACCAAAAGCAGCGAGTGGACTTACGAGTCCACAAGTGGGAGTCAGTGAGAACAGTGCCCGTGTTCCACAGATGCTGCCATTTCCATCCTCAGCGAAATGCCCACCGTCTCCTTACACATTCCCACCATAGTGGGTACGAGAGAAACGTTTCCTTTCTCCTTATTTATGAAGCTAAAGTTAGTGATGCCCCCTGAAGAATACGTGTTTTCTCCTCTTGAAAATTATGTGTGTGAAAGAATAATCTTAGACTCATGCTTCTTACAATTTCCTTCGTGTATTTAATCTCATGTTTGAAAAAAAATGATCTATATTCTTTCTGTAAATTCTACTCGTGCATCTCTACTCTCATAAAATATGTCACTGCATAGATGCATCACAAATATTAGTCGTTATGAGGGTGATGTCTGTCGTATTGTCAAAAAAAATGACACCTTTGTCAGCATGCTCATGACAGGATTGTCACACACACGCACATTTCCCTCTGGGGTGGCTAGCTGTGGGCCAGAGCTGGTGTCTCTTCCTTTTCACGTGTGGTTCTGATCTGCTCCCCAGACTGACCGCAGCACTGTGTACTCCTACCAGGAACTGATGGGGCTTCTAGGCGTTGCCGTTTTCTTACAAAATTGATTCTGCCATTGTTTCCTCTCTTGCCTCTCTTGTGGAGGTGCTGGAATTTTGACATCACAACTGCACTGATGCTGTGGCAAGACATTGGGGTGGAAATTACCATGACCTCCAAGGAGAGGAAGCTGTGCACATCATACTCATCAGGTGTGCTCCAGCTGGATCAGACACGTTTATCTGACAAAGACAGTTCGATCCATTACTTCCAGCGGTGGCTTCATACATGCACATGGCACCTGGAGGTTGGCCATGAAGAAAGTATGTACTGTAAAGAAAGACACAAATGCCACATATCTAGGGTTTATTTTTTAAATGATGCATTCTTAAAGCCCGTTGCCAGCGTGCCACCTGGCTGTCACTTTAAATCCCTTGTGCTCATTCAATCTGATGCTGCTTCTGGAGACTCTATCCCAGGTGTCATCTGATGAGGAAAGAAGGACTGAAGGGTCCACAGAGGGTTTCAGGGAACAGTTCTGGATTTATGTGCTATCATCCATTTATTCAGCTGCTTAAACCGTATTCTGTTTCTGAGCAATGGGATGGAGGTCAAG